GAAAAACTGCCTGTTAAAAGGCAGAAACCTAGGACAGACCCTTCGGCTCTAGGTGGGTGGTCGTCTGTCTCGACCAGTTGGGGGAGAGAGAGAGACAGAGAGACAGAGAGACAGATGTACAGCAACAACAGCAGCAGTCACTGAACAGTCTCTTCATGTACATGAAGTAATATAGTACCAGAAGTATAATCAGATTACAGTTGCTCCAATATTGGCAACTTAACATTATTATTGATTATCGTGAAGGTAAGTCAAAGGCGACGTCATTTGATACGTACCTTGGTCACCAAGGGTTGGAACTTTGGTTTCTTGGCGGGCTGAATGGGTTCTCTGATATCTGACAAAACTGAAACATATGAATTAATTCAATTCATCGAGTTAAAACACAAGTTGTTCAAAATCATTTTTCATAAAATAGTAACTAGTAGGGCTGGGTGTCCATATGTGTTATCAGTGCTAACACAACACCTGGTCTTCGGTAGCCTAGTCATAACAAAACCAACAATATGGTGAATTTAAACATATTCTAACCTAGCCTGGTAATTTGACTGAAGTGCCATTTCATTCTATTCTGTGATGGGTTTACTTTACTTTGTTTTGTGCTAAACCAACCATTCTCTTCTGGCTGTGGTAGCTAATGCTGGGAGCAATTTTTCATCATGACCAAAGAATGAATGTTGGGTTAGGGGTAGGGTTGTTATTTCTGTAAGCCAAAAATTCGCATGGCTTCATCAATCTTATCCATGCTTGTTGCCATTTTGTGGGCATATTCCTTTTTTTCTATGGTTGTAGCTAGGAATGTGGGAAGAGGACATCGCATTTCTTATCCTGCCAACAAAGCTTTGATTGGTCAATTGTTTTTCCAACCAGGGACATTGATCGTCAATGAGCACAACAGCAGACCCACTGAAATGTCCAGTGTGTAACATTGAGGAGGATCTATTGTCAGTAATGGAATATATTATTCATAGGTATGTTTTCATTAGTGTATAATCATCTGAAAATAAGAATCGTTTTTGTTACCTTAGAATGAGCTGTTTTTATCTACAGAGAGAGCGGGAGGCCGCTATGTTGAACCGCCATGATTCTACTTTTGCCCAGAACAGGCAAACCAAACACTGACTGTAGATAGGGCGTTAGGTTTTTTTGTTTCATGATCAGTGTAGGTTCTCCTAAGGTTGCCAAAAGTATCGATACTTCAATTCGGTAGGTTTTATACGATATTATCAATAGTATCAAAGGTACAGAAGCAGAAAAGATGAAAGAAAAAAACAGAGCTCCAATCAGAATTTCAACCCAAGGTTGCACAGATGACATAATGGGGAAGAAAATCAACTGTGACTTTGTTTTCTTTTTACCGTGGCATCGAAAGGGAAATTGTTTTCTATGCTAGTATACTGGTCCTTTAAATCACTGAACAAATGGGCGATGTGAGGATTCATGGGTCTAGAACAAGTCTACTTTTAACCTTTTTTTATGTACCCAAATATTCCTCATGCATCAGTACTAAAAAAAAGCTTTACCTAAATAAAATACACATTAACTTAAATAAGGTCCCTGATTTAGCGAATAACAATAATCAAACCAAGCATTTAACAGCAATTTTCAACACTTTCCGATACTTAATGCTAAGGACACATTTAAGTTGACACTCAATAAGTGTTGAGGTTTGATACCCAGCCCTAGTTGATTGTTTAAATAAACTGAAACACTACACGAAATAAGTCCCAAACACTCACAGGACTGATCTCTCTTGACGGTGTTCTTTTTCCGCCTGATGGGGAATTCGTCAATCTTCAGCTCGCCCTCATCTGAGACGTACTCATACTCGTCTCTCACTGGCTTGGTTTTGTCCTCTTTTAGGTTTTGTAATGATCCAAAAACACTTGAGTTGGTCTGAGGTTTCAGCGTCTTGGAGCTGAAAAAGGAAACCACAGGACAATAAGGGGGTGATGTGAGGCTCAGTCAGGCACTCGCAGTGAGAAGTCCTTGAATTAGCTCTAATGGATATGGTGCTGATAGCCACATAGCTCTACAATCATCGTAATACACCACATGAGAAGGTTAACATGCTCTCCTCTCCAAAGAGTTTTCATGAAACGTTTATATGGCAATCACAGCCATTCCATACGTACCCAAGCATCTTCTTGTGAGACATAGTAAAGCTGAATTTGTCTTTATTGCCTGACAGCGGTGTTCTGTCAAATTTGCACTCTTCCTCCATTTTCAGCAGGGAATCTGGTTTACTGTTCTGTAAAGATAAAAAGGAGATAAGCAAATGAAATCACTACACTCACTGACCTGGATGATATTGGCTGATATTATCACAGATATGTTCGTATCTATTTAGAGCCACAGTAGGTTATTTTTATAAAAACAACTTTTTGTCATATTTGCTAAAACTTTCACTATATCCTGATAGTAGAACATGAGACAGATAATCTGTGAAACAATCAGGTTCCTCTGGCTCCTCCTAGTGCTCCTAATGGCATTTGCAAGAATCCACCGGGCCTGAACGAAAACAACCAATCAGAGCCCA